TATATGTTCGGTCATTTACAACACATTTGTCGCCACTAGATCCTTTGGACCTCATTGTGGATTTTTGTTTTCCCTGCAAACAAATGGTCCTTTTGCTGCATCATAAATGGAAGTTGCATGCTTGAGTAAACCTGTTTCTCATGCAATGGAAACCTCAAAAGACTTAACACAAACCCATTAGGAAGTTAGCTAATTAGCATCAAAATCATTCGTGTCTGTATGTCAGATCATCAATATGTTATATGTCAAAAACTGTACTAGGTAGAAAAGAGAGGCTTACTCCAAATCCTTAGCAGAATATACCATCAATGTGATTAATTCAAACTTAATTAGTTATAAAGCATCAAACCACATTAAGAACTTCAGTGGATCTTTCATTGCCATAGAATGTGCTATTTTTGGAAAAAACAAAAAAAAGTCTCATAAGTTAAGATGCTAAAAAAGGCTACAAGACAGAAGAAAATCAACCATTAGAACATGCTAAAGGAAAACATATGAGAACAATGTAAGGAGCTTCCGAACTCCCATGAACTTAGACATAGAGAGTTCCGAGAGACTATTAAACTCCATTTTCAATGTAAGCATTGTCTCTGAATCCTCTTATACCATCAAATCTGGTGTAAGGATAGAGTAGAGATGGATCAATGCTAAGCAACATAAGAAGATCATAAAAAACCTTTTTTAATTATGAAAAAAATATCCACAGGGTCCATGAAGTTGAAGTAAATAACAAACAAACAAAAAGAGAGAAATTTTAAGGTTTGATACAAGAACGATGACTACTAGTACAATCTCAAGTCAGAACAAGCTACATCAAGTTATTATCAATTAGCCCATGTATAGAAATGTTTCCTTATTTGGTATTTTGTGTATATTCTAGGTTTAAGAGAGCTTTATAGTTCCATATCTTTTATGGTATCAGAATGTGCTGTTTTTGGAAAGAAAAATGAAAATCAACCATTATAACATGCTAAAGGAAAAACATATGTGAACAATGTAACGAGCTTCCGAACTCCCATGAACTTGGAGATAGAGAGTTCAGAGAGACTATTAAACTCCATTTTCAATGTAAGCACTGTCTCTGAATCCTCTTATACCATCAAATCTGGTGTAAGGATAGAGTAGAGTTAGATCAATGCTAAGAAAATAAGCAACATAACAATAACTTTTATGCAAGAACCATGACTACTAGTGCAATCTCAAGTCAGAACAAGCTACAAAAAAATATCATTTTGACTCGGTAGTACTAAGCTCTATATATATAATCAAAGGAAAAAAAAACATTTGTGAACAAAGAGAGGAAAATAAATGAAGAAAGTCTCAAACTTTATCAAAACCACATACCCCAAGAAGAACATTGAGATAAGGTTTGCAAAAAATGAAAGGTAAAGGACTTTTGACACCTAACAGAGATATAAAAAGCGTCACAATAATCTTATCCGATCCAAATGCGAATAATTTCTCATCAATGCGTAAATAAGAATTAGAAAAGCTTTTTTTTTTTTTGTAATTATTGAAGTCTAGAGAACCTCTGTATCGTCAAGAGGGTTTCGAGATTACAGTAAAGTAGTAAGGTGAGGACGAGAAAACCTTATCTTTGAAGTTGCAGACATGGCGGGTACTTCTCTTCCTTCATCTCTACTGAGTCAAGGACCTTCGCTATTCTTCTCTTCTTCGAATCAGATCTCAGAAGCTAAATGTCGAATTGTTATTACATCTGAAAAACGTTGTCTTGTTCGTTGTTTCGCTAAGAAGAAAATCAGTTTTGTGGATCAGATTCTCGATTATATCGAAGGTATATTTTTCTATTCTCTTGATGGGTATTTAAACTTGGTGTTAAAAAATGAGACTTTATGGTAATGTCATCAGTTTGGTTTCTGTGTGTTTACTTGTGTTTTAAGGCGGTCCAAAGCTTAGGAAATGGTATGGAGCGCCTGAACTTTTGCCTAAGGATGGATCTTTAAGTGGAGACGACGAAGAAATTGAAGGTATGTTAAGAACAAAATGCAAAATCATACCCAAAAGAGCTGAAATTGGGAACCTTCATGACTAAACATATAACTTTTATCTGTTTTATGTGGAACCTATGAAGCAGAGGAAGAAGAGGATCTTGATGGAGACAAAGACGCAGTTTTTGTAACTGATGGAGACAGTGATTTGGGTCAGGTGTGTGTTTACAGGCTTTCACAGAATCATTTTATTAGATTGGATGCAACAAGATGAAAAAATGGAACTGAGAATTGTTAATTTTTAGCTGATGTAGATGATTATTCTGCAACTGATTGTTAAAGGGTCTCGGGTTAAAGCACTTGTCAAGGACAAAAGAAAGGCTTTGGAAGCTTTTGGAGCTTATGTTGAGGTTGGTTCACTGAATGGCTGGTTCTGTCTGTTTGTTTCTCTTTACTTTTTGACAAACATTCAGTGGGAAAACTTAAATTTAAACTTGTGAAGTTGACTACTGGAGATGCAAGCGACGAGCGTTTCTTACGGAAAGCTTTTCGAGGCGTTGGTGCAATCATATCCCCAACCGTATGTTTTGACCATTACGCTGCATTATGCGTTGATCGAGCTCTATATAGTGATCTAAAAACACCAAAACATTCATTCTTTGTTTTCAGGAAGGTTTCTTATCGAATGTCAAGAGTTTAAGAGGTGTCAAACATGCAGTTCTCTTGTCTCAGGTAAGTATACATCTCCATGACTTTGCCTTTGTCATACTTTGTTCCATATTATGAGGGTTTAGACAGTTATTCATGATGTACAAGTAACCTTGGAGGTTGGAATTTGTCTTTTTTTGACATGTTTTGTGTCTGTAAGATCATGGTTTAATGAAGCTGCAGTTGTCTGTTTATGAAAGCAGCGGCGGAATTCAAGCTATGATGAATAACAAAGCGAAAAAACTAGCCGAGGGAGATGAAAAAGCCGTTATAGCTTCGAATGTACCTTATACAATCATCAGAACAGGGAAGCTTGAGAACAGTCCTGGAGGGAATCAAGGCTTCAACTTTAGCTCGGTAAAGTCATCTTATAACTGATAAGACAAAACATATGTCGAACTTCACAGGTTGGTTTAAACAACAGTTTGTGAAAGAATCAGGGTGCTGCAGCCAAAGGAAGCATAAGCAAAGAAGACGCTGCTCGTATATGTGTTGAAGCTCTAAGCGTGGTTCCACCAACAGGGTTGATATTTGAGGTAGATAACATTCTTTGCTTTTTCTAGGGAAAGAAGAAAAACCAGTAAACATATTATTGATGCTTCCATTACAAAGAATCATTTGTTACTGATGAGGCTTCTGATTCGGGTTAGGTTTCGAATGGAGAAGAGGTTGTCTCTGACTGGGAAGGACAGTTGATGAAAGTGATGCAGAGACAGAGTGAAAAGAAGTAGTAAAGCTCTGAAGTTGATATGAACAAGAACATTAAATTAGACACCAACATTGTCTAATTTGATGAAGAGAAGAAATTCTGCATAGTTGATATATTTGTTTTTTCTCCTCTTGTACTAATTAAATCATTTGTTTTTCTTTTGTGTAAGAATGAAGTACCATGAGAGTGTATAATTATAGCAACTTAGCAAGCATGAGATCTTACCAAAGTATTATTATAACATAAGTACAAGAAAGCTAATTGGAAAATGGATGTTGTAATAGAAAAAGGAGCAATACATGAAGTGAACTAAAGAGTTTGGCTAGATTCTCTTATCCAAAAGCC